AATAATTTAAATATCTTCAGCAAGAAAAAGGACAATGATTGCTAACCAGAAACAGAGACAAATTTTAGCTTCAGAAATCTAGAAGATTTGATTAACGCATGGTAATATTTCATCGTTGTTGCTTAAAGCAGCTAATTTACAAAAGTCAACTGTATTGTAGGAATTTTTCAATAATACCAATGTTTTGAATAAACGAGGCTAAACCTGCATAAATTAATGACTCTGAAGTCTTTAAAAACAGTGCTATGCATGGAATGCGAAACTATGTGTAATGTACACAATTTAGGACGCGTAGCGTTTCTGAGAAAATGAAATTCAATTTAAAAAGTTTTCGATGACTCAATGTTTGTTTTTCAGTAACAATGATACCCATAAAKTGAACTAGGCCAGTGCCGAGTCTAGCCAAGTTAATCAGTCTAGGCTCAAAATTCGGCATTTGTTAGATTAATCAAAAATCAAGAAAAGAGAAAGACAAAATCGAAAGTCGAAAGTAAGCAAAGTTGCGAGAGCCAAATCCTAATAATATAAAAGTAAAAAGTGAAACAATATTCGGGGAAAATTGCTGTAGCGGCATTACTGTGCTAAAACCGTCAAATATTGTCACCATAGGCGTACGCGAAAAAATGTTGTACTGGTTCGAATCTTGGAAATACAGCCACCTCACACGCGAGACTTTTTTATTTTATTAAGTCTCGATCTTATAAAATTATAGCTATAAATGAGAAAACGATCTCAAAAGGTACTTAGCATGAAACTYGTTGGATCTACACAGGCTCAGTTTTGTACTTTTTAGGTAAAATTAGAGATTCATCGGACTGGAGGGGCGGGCATTTGACCACTTACTGTAGCCACAACGGTGGGGTATTTGATCATTTTGTTAGGCCGCATGGTGGGGAATTTGATAATTTTTTTCCAAAAAAGTCAAATGCAGGGGGGGTTGGATGGGAACCTTTGGAATTGACCCATACATTATTTTTAGAACGTGTGCTGGTCTGATTTGATTACCGTTTGGATTCTAAGAATAACATAAACGCGTTTCTTAGAAAATTTGAAATTTGATATTATCATAACGCGTTTCTTGGAAAACTTGAAATTTGATTTATTCAGTTTTTGAAATTTAAAGATCGATCTTGAAGTTCACTAAATACTAGTAGCCATGCCACTTGCTAAATTTCCAAGAACAGCTGAAATCAAACACTAGTACTCTGGATCCGATTCCGTTTGGATCCCAAGACAAGAATAACATAACGCGCTTCTTGGAAAATTTGAAATTTAATATTATCAAAACGCGTTTCTTGGAAAACTTGAAATTCGAGACGGCGATTATTTTTAGAACGTGTGCTGGTCAGATTCGATTACCGTTTGGATTCTAGAATAACATAACGCGTTTCTTGGAAATCTTGAAATTTGATTTATTCAGTTACGTTTTTGAAATTAAAAATCGATCTCGAAGTTCACTAAATACGAGTAGCCATGCCACTTGCTAAATTTCCAAGAACAGCTGAAATCAAACACTGAGTACTCTGGATCCGATTCCGTTTGGATTCCAAGACATGCAAGAATAACATGGCTCGTTTCTTGGAAAATTTGAAATTTGATATATTAAGTTTTTAAATAATTTTTAGAATAAAAATCGATCTCGAAGTTAACTAAATACTAGTAGCCAATTGCTAAATTTCTCAAAATGCTAAATTGCAACGATTACCGTTTGGATTCCAAGAACTGCAAGAATAACATGGCTCGTTTCTGGAAAATTCGAAATTTGATAATCATATGTTTTTAAATATTTTTTAGAATAAAAATCGATCTTGAAGTTAA